GTCGTAATAGAAACAACGACGCATGTATCGGTTAAATTTGAAGTAAAGTATAACAAAGTATAACTTAACTTTAAGATGATCGTACCATACAAAAGACGAACCCAAACAATACAAAATTTACCATATTATTAAATACGTTTACGTTACACAATTGATTTACGTCGCAGATCAGCTGAATGTGCCAAAGGAAATAAATCTGTAAAAAGAATCTGCACTTACTCTGAAGGCCATCTGTCCACCTTTCCCCATCACCTAAAATCAAGAGTTTAGTTTGATCTTCAAGGAAGCTGAAATATTCTTCGTTTTCGATCTCAGTTCCATCACTATCAAGACAAACCCGGCACTTTGCTGCCACCAACCCAAATTTTGAACTTGCAATTTCTTTAAGTTCCATCAGGCTTTCTGCGACGATTCCTAGTGCTCTTGATCGCGCTGAGTTGCAAATCTTCAACGGCTTACGCCGCTTTACTTCCATGACAAAGCCCGTTGCTGCAGTCAACTCGTCCACCATGTTTTATTGCTAAGGAGCCAAGCCTTAATACTTTCTACAGTATCGAATTTCAAACTTGTGCCCAGGGCCTTCTCGGTGTTCATCTGAGTGGTCGGCTTAGTGAGGGAGTCAGTTATTATAATTCAATGTATGGCCCATTTCATTCAGAAGTTTGAATTGAAATCCTCCTCCTCTATTTGAACCCAGAGATACATAATAAATGTCTTTCTGATCTCGTTTTCCCAGTCTGTACTGAAAGTTACGAAACCTCGAAGCTCCATAACCGTCACATTACAGACTGTGCCTGTCTAGATTGTGCTCGTAAGATGCTGGAAAGTTGCTCGCTGGAATGCCAAAAAGTTGTAAAAAGTTGCCAAAAATGCCAAAAGTTTCTCTCTAAATTTAAAAAGTTGCCTCTTAAATTTCTTAATATTTTTATATAAACGTTTATTTTAAGCTATACTTTTCGCCCTTCGCAACAATTAACTTAGCTTTAAAGAGTTGTTTGTAAAAATAAATTAACAAAGACATACATTTTGGTCCGTCGTTTTAGCCGATTATCTGTTCTAATAATACATAAAAGGCCTGCGAAACATTCGAGAAATATGCATAAATCGAAGTTTTTTTTTTATGAAATTGTCGACTAATCGTGCCTGATATGTGCTCTAAAATCTAAAACTTGCTCAAAAATTGCTCAGAAAGGTAAACATTCCGCAAGGTTGCCAGATCTGCTAAAATTGCTCCAAACCCCAAGAGTTGCCTCAAAAGTTACCGAGCACACCAAATCCGTCGATCCGCGAACCCATTCACCCTCTCGTTGATAAAAACCCTTTATTAAGGATGGGACGAGTCCTTTTCCTTTCAAGGTTTTTGAATGTTGGCTTTGGCTTGGTTTTAAAAAAGTGAGCTTGGTTGGGCGTTGCTAATGGCTGCTCAGACTTTGTTGGTCTTGCTTAAACATTGCTCATGCATCATAATAAGTCAAAACAAGTGTTCGTGATTTTACCACGATTCATTTTTGTTCTCGCTCTTGTCTGTCTTACAAGTGGAGTCTTCTGTCGGAAAATTTCGCCAACCTGCGCTGTTTCAAATCCAAGCCGGCTACTGGAGCGAAAATACGAGACAGATAATTCCAAAGCTCAGTTTTCAATTACCTTTACTTCTTAATTTACATTCTGACCGAGCTTAGCATCTCAGTTAAAGAAACCTGCCGCCATCATGTAACTGCCACCGGAAATGGCCATGTTGAAATGAGGAGTGTCACAGAACGTTATGAACTTAATGTATGCAGCTTTTAACGAAAAAAAATTTAAATATTAAACTTACGTCATTACCAAATTGTGCAAGTTTTGCGGGACAAACGCTTTTTCGTGATAGATTTAGAAAGATGCAGTAGACTTGTAATTCAGTGGTCGAAGCAGAAAGATATTGAAAACTTTTCCACAAGATCCTCCCCCGAGGATTCGAACCTGAAACCTTCTGACATTGCTGCATCGAAGAGTTTTAACATGCTTCCCATATGCTGCTAAGGATAACAAATTCTTTGAGAAACCATTTTATATTTAAGCAAGTAAAAATCCTTCATTCTTACAATGTCATTAGTCATAGAATAAATTGTGTAAGTCTATCGTTCGTGGATAGAAATGTTTGAGCCCCGTGAGACAAAGGAGCAATGAAATGAGTATGAAAAAAAAGGCCAAGACTTGTCAACTCGATAATCCTTGCAAGCTCTTTCCGTAACTGATCAGACAAGAATATAATCCATGTGATGTTTTAAATTCACTCAATCATTTTTAATAAAACCCTTGAAGAATGTTTAACTGAGAAGGATAAGATTGATAACTGACAAACTTATTGAAAAGCAAAGTCCACAGCTCGAATGGAACATGGAACATGGATCTATCCAGACCCGAATATGGAAGGACTAGAAGGCTGCCTAATGATCATGATTTGCCTCTAATAACATAGTTTGTATTAAGAGACTGGCGCAAAATCGGAATTTTTACAGTCCCACTTTTTATCGCGTATGTCCAAAAGACACAAGGGCTCGTTATTGTTTCGCCGCCTGTCTATAAATAAATCAATCTCTCTGTAAAACAATTCTGATTTATTTTGTCAGTTCAAATATGTATGTCGAGTTTTGAAGGCTTAAATCAATGTTTTCAATGTTTTCGGCCTACATAGGATCGATTTGCGGTATATCTTTCATTTAAAATGATACAGACCCTTGTCGGTTTTCCGCTATCGAGTAAATACTTTTTAAAGGCAAACATCCTCAATAGCGAACATGCTGGGCAATCGTTCAAATGGGTTTTACAGCCCTTCAGTGAAAGAATGAGCTTCGTTGAAAACACATCATTTCTTGTTTATAGTGTCACCGAGTTGAAATAAACAACTGCAAACAAACAACACCGATATCGGCTTGCCTGACTGATTTAAACTTTTTTTGAAGACAAGTCCTTTGTTCCTAAAAATATGTTGGTTAATATTCTCAACTGAAAGAGCATTTCATTGACCCTGACTGACTGTCTTTTTTCTGCGTGAAATAAAGGTGAACAATTTTAAGTTCACGTCACTCGGGGATCTGTATGGGTTCTCAGAAGGCGTTGCATTGCTCCAGAGGAAATTTCCTCGAAAATCGGTAATGTTTTCATCACATTGTGTCAGGGTTAAGGATATATCCGGCGTGTAGTAAATTTTTTTCTATTTTCGTTTTTTTTCAAGGACTGTTTAAACCATTTAGCAGGCAAATTAGCGTCAGCAATGAGTCGGCAATTTTCCTCTACAAGTTATATCAATGACGCTCATTCCGAGAATGTTGAAATGTTACTTGTCCAACGCTACTTCGTATGACAACAGAGTTAAAACACATTTTGCGGCCACCCACTAGGAAATGATCGCCGTCTTTTTCAAACGTGTGCGTTTGTAAAACGTCTTTCAATTTAATGAAAGTTTCTAGTTTTTGGTGTAAATCATAATGGAAAAACCACTGCAATCATCGGAAACCAGATTTAAGTGGCTTCCAGCTATTTTGGTCGGATACGAAAATAACTGTTGTCTTTGTTTGACACCCTGACCGTAATGCCTGATAGGGTGACCGCTGGCCAGTTTCTAGACACCCTTAACTCTACCCATCCCTCCCTCCAGTTTACCATGGAAGTCGAACGGGAAGGATCCCTTCCCTTTCTAGGAACTGAACTGCTTAACCGTGCACCAAAGATTGAGAGCAAGGTCTACATCAAAAGAACCAACACGGGTCTCCTTCTGCATTTCCAGAGTCATGTTGACATTAAGTACAAGCGCAGCCTAGTTAACACCATGGTGGATCGCGCTTATCGATTATCTTCTAATTGGTCTTTCTTCTCCGAGGAATGTGACCGCCTTAGAGGGGTTTTTCATAACTTGAAATACCCAAAGCCACTGGTTGAAACTACAATTAAGCGGTTCGTTGAGAGAAGGATTTCATCTGCAGATCCCTGTCCATCACCAGACGTACCATCGGAGATTGTGAGATTAGTGTTACCCTTCAAGGACCAGTCGTCAGCTAATCATGTTAAACAACAACTGAACAGTCTAAGCTCGAAGTTAAGCGTGACTGTCCAACCAGTGTTCGTTAGCCCTAAGCTCGATCAACAGCTTAAGCAACACGAAATTAAGCCCCCTATTGTTAACCAACAATGTATCGTTTATGAATTTAAATGTAACCTGTGTGATGCAGGGTATGTGGGCTATACTCGTGGTCACTTACACGAGCGCGTAGAAGGGCACACAAGGAAATCATCTTCTATCTACAAACACTACCACCTCCAGCACAATAGTGAAATGCCTGAACGCTTGATCGAGCAATTCAACGTCATCGCGAAATGTAACGGCAAATTTGATTGCCTTGTTAATGAAATGTTGTATATTCGCATGCGTAAGCCAACACTGAACGTGCAAACGGATTCCATCCGCGCCAAGGTGTTTGTTTAAGCCGTTCATTCTAATTTATGCTATTCTTGTACCTTTCCTTATTTGCATGTTTTTAAACTAGTCTCTTGATAATGGAGTCACGATGACCCCGAAACGTCGAGTAATAAATCTTTCCTGGTTTTTTCTATGTCTTTGTTTTTGAAACAAAAATCTTAAAAGTCGGCTTTTAATAAGGTTAGCCTTATAGAAGCCGATTCGCAGCGAGTGTTGAAGTGTATTAGGCACAAATTGCAATTCTGGGCAATGCCACGAAAACAAGGTAATTCAAGCTGGAAATTGCGGATTGAGAAACCTGCAACGTTATCCTAACAATGGCCACTTCCCGCGGTCATGCAACTCATCAGGGACAGCTTGCCATTGGCCACTTCATTGTAATCTATTATCAAGTTTCATCTTTACGTCAAATAATAAATCAATCAATTGCTCGGTATATATAGTGGCATCATCTTTCCATGTATTTTACATACCGTAGTTCAATCGAGCGACGGATAGATTCCGAAGCTCGCCTTTTAGCTAGTTGCTCTCGCTATATGTCATTATGTGGTGGGTTCTATGGCTTGCCAATTTGATTGCAGTTTCGGGGAGAGATATATCTTGCGGGGATGCTATCAATAACTGCCGAAAGGACTTCGCAGGATGCGGATTGGCACTCTACAAAATTTTTAAAAGAACAGAGTGTCTTACCGCGTTAGGTCTCAAGGACGATAAATTGGTCGGGATCCGAGTAACCAGACCGATGGAAAAGACTTGTCCACTGAGTTGTGTGAGTGCGATCAACAACCTAACTGCTACGAATGCAGGTAAAGCGATGGAAACATGTAACTGTAGCAGAGACTCAACGTGTCTAACATCGAAGGCACGCTTGAAGCGATGCGTCCTCAGTAGAACTACAAATTACACTGTCTTTAGTTGCACCCAGGCTAGAAAACGATGTAATGGCAACAAGGATTGTAAACGAATACAATTCAGCTTTTTGAGGCGATGTACAAAGCTTATCTCGGGTTTGGAATGCACAAAGGATTGTTTAAACAGCCAAGACGAATTGCTGAATTCAGATCTGGGTAAAAGCGCTCAACGATTGCGAGTGCGACGGGTTTGAGGAGCCGTACTGCCGTGGTATTCGCGCAAACTACGAGGAACTGTGTGTTGGACCCAGAGGGCCTCGCAATTCGGACGCCAGTCTTGCTCCTGCTCCAAAAGAGAATATAGTACAGAAATTTAGATATTCTGGACAATCTCGCTCAGCCTTTTCACAGTTTGAGCTTCCTGTATGGATTCTGTATGCTGCAATCGCGGCATATGTATACATGTTTTACAATCTATAGCCGTATTGTTTACTTATAAACCAGACTTTGGACAGATCCTGTTCGATAGGAAATTGGAAAATTTGTGCGCCAGCTTTCATTGCTTCATTCGCGTTGTTTTTATAAGTGTTGTAGCCGCTCCAAATGTTATCCAGTTGTGCCATGCGTTTTCAATCGCCGTCCACAGCACTGTACATCGCATGCATGCTGACAAAAAAAATCCTTTCGGAAGAATTGTACAAAGCTTTCCATCCTGTCCAAATATTTTTTGGATTATTGCTAGGGTTGTTGATAATTTTAAAGTTGAATCGAGCTCATCAAGTGTGTATATAACATTTTGGAATTTGGGTTTTATTTTGGTTGAGTTCACTGTCAGGCCTCCCGGCGTAACGCTCGACATACGCGGCGTTATTAGAAGAAAGAGATTCGATTAGCGGAGCGATTTGAGTTCATCTTACTTAAGGACGTTTGAACGAGATAGCATCAATTGCCAGTCAATTGTGGTCAATGTGTTCTTTGCGTAATCTTTACACGACAACTGTTTGACAAACTCGGTTTGTTGTGATCTGTTTTCTTTTGGACGTAAATTGTACGCTCTAAGCAAAACATTAAAGAATGCTTGAAATAGCGCCTTTATTGTTATAATCTTGAGGTCGTCGGGGCATTCTATGCTGTGAGTAAGGTCATTTTAGATAGGCATTTATGTCGGCTAATCGAGCGCTAGAGAGTTTCATATCGTGGATTAGCAAGCGATTATACCAGGAGATATTTCCATGTATTTACTCACCGTTTTTCACGGTTTTGTGCAGAAAAAATCTCTTTCAAGTGACGAAGCATTCTCCCGTTGCATCGATCAGAATAACTTGAATTGTTCCGAGGGCAAAAGAAATTCAGCAACGACCCCGAGTTGAATGAATTCAAATGAAAATGTATTTCGAGGTATTTAATGTTAGAATGAATGTATTAAAATAAATCTCCTATATGAATAATCTTTGTGAATTCACACGCCCTAAAATAAACGATATATCCTGCGGAAATCAGATGCTAAACTTCGCCCTCTCTAAGGAAATAAGCATGTCACCAATAAAAAAAATAAAATAAAATAAAAACGTGATTATAGCTTAAAAAAAAATATTTCGATGCTGGGAATTATTTGTGATACAAACTTAACCGTTTTTTTTCTTTTTAACACCTTCCCTCAAAAGTTTCCAACAAAGCTTTGATCTGCTCGAAACCCAATGATTTTACGAAAACGGATCTGTAACTTCACCTCGGATAGTTTTTGTTGTGTTGTAGGGGTTTATTACTTGTTAAAGATAAACGTAAACACAGGCAGTACCATTTCGATCAATTATGGGTGAACTGTGTAAGGAATGTATTCTGACACAAGGGGTTTATAGTTTTAACTGTATTGTCATATTTCAGTTACGCCTGAAAGCTAAAAGCACGAAGACTTCAGGGTAAACAGACAGAAAATCATATTTTGCTGATTTCACAGATGATACACTCAAGTGTTGATGAAACAATAATCATTTCCTGATCTCCCATGCAGAATTAATCCACTGAACTGGAAATTGTACGAGATTTTATCGACCACTTGGCTAAGACTACATAATTTCTTCATTGATAATAGCATAGTTTTTAACCTCTTCGAAGCACACGGGCCAAAAATGGTTTGTCCGCTCACTCCAGTAAAAAGCATTACTTAAAGTACTGAAATGGCTTCATACTGAGAGAACGGCTTATGAAAATTTAAAAAATAAACAATGAAAAAATCCACAATACAGGCAGTTGCAATCTCGGCAAGCTACACGTATAGAATTGGTTTCGGTTTCTAAGGAACTCCAGCGTTCGAGCATGAATTTAATGGAATCTCATTAGCTAAGAGCTTTCACTAAAATACTAAAATTAAGCTTAGTTATTGTAACGTGTTTCACCAGTTTTATATTTCCACTTTTTAAAAGTTTTATGTTTCTAATGATTGTCTCCCTTGGTGCAAAAGTCCAGCAAGCCTCGTATACGTGTACAAAAAGGTCTCAGTAACTCGTTTGGGTGAGGGAAGACGTTGTTGGACATCTCTGTTTTATTATTCAGGGTTATATTTACGAATATGACGAGACACTACAAAAGAAATAAGAGGTTATTTAGATGGATTCCAAGACTGACTGTTGATAGGACACGAGACGTGTCGCAAATAAAAAATAGCATTTATGCGGCCGAAGAAGTCAACAAACTTTATTAGTTTTAAAAAATCCAGATGTCTGGGAAATGGTTGTCAGTCGCTCTGGTTTCATCAGACGCACCGACTTTTGACTTTTTAAGTTCTAGAATCCTCAAAGAGTAATGGCAAAGATTTATAACGCGAGGAAAGACATAACGAGCATTTTCTAGTGTCGAGTTTCTCCCGATGCCTTCAACGTCTGCTTGAATCACGAAAGTCAATTGATCCGAAAGTGGAGTTAAACTTTGGAAAAAAAAAAGGTGAGGGCGATATCACATACGATACCTCACTTTTTTATTTAAGAGTATAAAAACCTCAGAGATAAAGATTTCTGCTATCTTGAGGATCGCTTACAGCACCGAACGACACAAACTAAAGACCACGAGACAAGAATTTCCGCCCGCCATATTCAATTACAACCCATTTTTCATCCAGGGATGTTGATCATAAGGTCATTGGTGTCTAATTTAGTGAAAATTTGTTTCCTTTTAATCCTGCAGCGAATTGATGATCACCAAACGTTGCCACCAATCCTTCGATGTAACCATCAGAAAACGGCTACTCTCTAAATTCCACAATAAAGGGTTTACTTAATCGGTCCTTGAGATGTCCATGACTGTCTCTGTAGTATATCATCCATTTTTCCCAACATTATTGCTTTTAGCTTCCGTTCTAAGTGATAACCTCGAACGTGCATATGTCATCAAGCTCTTTGCATTACAAATATTTCCTTTAGTACTGCAAACCATACCCCCGGGGAGGTTGTCTCTCGTTCGAAAAATAATAGGAATTAACGCACTTTTCAGGTGATTTCCTCATCATTAAACCTTTATTCTTTTAAAATTGAATAACTTTAAGTATAGCATCGTTGTTAATACAGAAAAATGCAGTCACAGCACTTTGACAGACAATATGACATATGGACTATATTATTAAGTGTTTGTCACATAGAAGGACACTTCGCACATAAACAAAGCCCTGCCCAATAGTTGTTGGCACAATATATGATCTGAACGAAAATAAGTTTAAAATCCAATTAACTCTTTTATTTTTCTCCGATCCTGCTTCGAATGTGCTGGTGTAGAAGTGAGAGACGTTCTCGAGTTCTATTGTTTCAATGGTTTATAAGTTTATTTTCACAAAGGGAATCGCTGATTTGGCCGCAACTAAAGAAGAATGTAACCAACAGTTCCGAAAACACGTGTTTTTTTGGCATCCAGTATATTTCAAGATGGTGTACTATGCGCCGGAGTAGTGCCTTGAAGTTCCGCCAAATATACACATCGGCTCCTACAGTTAAATACTTAGAGGCCTTGTTTTGGCAACATAATTAGCCGGCATGCAAAAAGGAAAGAGAGCTAGAAGGAAATTTTATTCCAGCTCAAGGAGTTGGGAGCGACTCAGGTCCTTGCGCCCAAATAAATTTGAAATTATCCCTTTTCCGTCTCCTTGTTTAATGAAGATGAAGGTTAATCTCGAAAGAAACGCTAGTAAGGTTTTGGCCCAACAACAAAAGGGTAAATGGACTTTCTGTAGTAGTTTATGTTCATAAAACATTCAGGTATTATTGTTCTTCGGGTTTGAGAAGAAAATGAAATACATGAATCAACCTGTTGCATACCACAGTTGAGAATGTTAATTGAAAAACTTTTATAAATTGTTGTTAGATGCGACTTTTGATCAAAAGGGCACGAATGCCACGAATGCTTAATTAATTAAAAGACGTTATCAAGCATTTCGCGAAAGATATTGAAATTTGATAAAAGAGACACTGATAGGGAGAGAGGTCGAGCATAAAGTTCACCGAAAACAATAAAAAAGTGAACCTTTTGCTTTCAACCCTTTGTGTGTTGAAAAGGAAATATTTGCATTAACAGTGATCTAGAGTTCTTTATTTGTCGTTCTTTTTCAAGGTTGATGTGAAAATTTTAGGAAAGTGATTGAAATCAGAGTTCCGTTTTGCTCATTACTAATGCTGTAAACCTTATGGTTAAACTCATCCGCAGTAAACAGTTTTCCGTGAAGTTAATGTATTTCGAGAACAGTTCACATCATCTTTACCCTCTTCGCAGAGTGTTATTGTCTGATTAACAAAAGACCCTTAAATGGGGGTTACTGGTGTTTAAGTGTATAAAAAATCTTTAAATTATATTGTAAACTGCTGTGAGAGATTGTGGTCAAGCCAAAGATATTAAAATGAAAATGTCGGTGATGTTCATAATATACTTTTGCAAACCCCTATCTGCGACCTCTTGAATACTGCGTGTTTCCATCAATACCACAGACAAAATTACCTGCTATTTACGGAGAGAGAGAAAAACAATAATCTATACAACCCCTCGAAGGTGTGTACCCTCTTCGAATAAATGGGAAAGTTATGCGTGCTAGAGAATTGATGAATTGGGGTAATGCGGTAATCAGACAGGCAAGCCTATTAGCAAGGTGCTCTTTCTGCACGCAACAGACTTCGGTTAACTGTTTTGGAAACGCTTGTGTTAATCAGCTTAACTCAACTTTTTAACATCTTTAAATTTTGAAATTGGATAGCGTGGTTTCGTCATTGAAAATCTAATC